CCCACTCGGCTGGTCACCCTTTCCAGTCAAGTCTCCTAATGCTCCGGTTCGATCCTTGTGAACCACTTTCCCACTCAACTGGTCACCTCTTCCAGTCAAGTCTCCTAGTGGTCCGGCTAGGTTGCAATCTATCTGATAACCCTTAACAACGACCCTCACTCGGGCACCTTACTGAAGTCACTGGTTTAAATTGCTAGACTGATCGAAACGAGTGGTCTTATAAAACAGTATGGGTATACTTTTTAATTAATATAAAGGTTTGATCCAAATGATCCGGTATCAAAGTCACTGTCTTTTCGTTTTATGTTTTTTTTTGTTCCTTTTCTGTACTTTTTTCTTGTTTTTGTTTCCCTAGTTACCCCCCTTACTCGGTTAGCTAGGCCTCGTTCGGAGAGCGTACCAGGAAGTTTTCTCAAGGTTTCTTAAAAAGCTATCACGGTACAACCGGAAGGTTTATACGTTCCCGCTGAACCGTACCACCGGTACTCTAGAATGGGCATGCAGCCCGGAGCTGTGTCAAGTGGGTTCGACTCCGTAGTCATGATGTCGTAAAAACACCCAGGAGCGCCATAAAAACACTATGTAACAGTCGCTTACTTCAATCACATATGAGGCTTAAGAAAGTTAGGCCCTATAACCATTGGCTCAAGAGTCAGGGACACTATCTCTTGTGTTTTTCTACCTCAAGAACGGTCGGAGCCAATTCGGTTCGCTTGCGACATGAGACTAGAACCCGTTACAGCTTAAAGGCTACTACAAAAATATCCCCCCACTCTAGAAAATAAGAACGTCCCCATACTTAGGTCTCAAAATACCCAAAATACGCGAACGCCGTTAGAAACAGGGTCGGAACAATCCGTTAAGTTACTTTTTATCGGACAGTGGAACTTTGATCCATTTCAGATGACAGGCTCCATTCGAAATTTTGAAAATTAAAACTCCACTCCAAAGTTACGTATTTTCATGTCTCTAAAGGTCAAACTTCCAGATATAACCGACTGGCATAGACACATGTTTTCCTAGATCCTTTATCACACTCGAGCTTTCCACTGCTGTTTCACAAAGAATGAATTGCTGATTACCTCTAAATTCGACTTTAAAACATTTGTCCAGTGCCAGACTCATCTTGTTTTTGTCTACCCAGTTTTCAACGATATTTAGGTCCTACTGGATGTCCTTTGTGTCTACATTCACTGCTAGTAATTTTAGGTCGTCTGCAAAGATAAATGGGTCACTAAATTTCAATACTTCAGGAAGATCATTTATGAAGATACAGAAGAATAATGGACCAATCAACGATCCTTGTGGTACGCCACTTGTAATTTTTAAAGTTTCTGATGAGAAATTGTCAGCACGAACAAATTCTTTCCTGTTGCTGAGATAGTCTGCCATTATTTCAATGAAACAGCCTCCAACTCCAATGTTGCTCATTTTCTTTAACAGTTCATAATGTGGGACTTTGTCGAAAGCCTTAGAGAAGTCGGTATAGAATGCGATCACAAGGTTTTCAGCGTTCTTGTCAATTGCTTCGTAGATTTCTTTCAAGAAAGAGAACATGTTTGTAACAACTGAACGGTTTTTAACAAAACCGTGCTGACTTCTTGTGAGAAATTTGATGAAATGGTCATACAACGCTGGATACATGCATTGTTCCAGGAGTTTTTTCATGATATTTAGGAGTGACACCGGCCGGTAGTTTTCCATTAGTCGTTTGTCACCTTTCTTGTAAATAGGCGACACAACCGCAACTTTCCATTTATCTGGTATTTTCCTTACCCTCTTGATGTTTTTAAAAACGCAATGCAAAATTGTGGTCATTTCTCTGGCCGTTTGCTGGAAGAAAATTGGTGGGAATCCATCTGAGCCCCGCGATTTTGTTATGTCCAGCTCTGTTATAATTTGGTTTAAACATATTTTTGAGATACTGAAGTGACTCAATATCGTGTTTTCGCACTTCATGTCACTGAGGTTGAAGCTTGATTTGGGCGAAAAGACAGAGTGAAAATATTCATTCAAAAAGTTCACTTTTTCTTTGGCTTTGGAAACAGCTATTTCGTCCTTGATCATAGTCTTTGGGAGAGTTTCTGATTTTTTCAGACTCTTAAAGTGTTTGAAAATTAAATGTGTGTTACGAGTGGACATCAAATTTTCCTGATAGTTTACTCTATCTTCCTCTACTGCTTTTTCCACCATTTCATCTAGAGATAGAATGAGATTTCTGCGGTAGCTTGTAGGTTTCAATTTGTATACTCTAGTTTGTGTTCGCAGTTTGTTCATGAGGTTTGAGGTACTTGGCGTAACCCATGGCGGAAGTGATTGGCGACGTCTCGTTCTTCTAGGCACATGTTGGTTTACCAAATTTTCAAAATAGTCGTTAAGTTCCTCGCACATTCTATTGATGTTTGTGTGACATACTGGTGAGAAAGGCTCACTTAGTATTGATTTCTTGATTTTGTTATATTCCACGCTACCGAAGCTTCGAAAGTTTTCAATAGCGACTTTTACCTCATGGTGAGGACATTCAATTAGAATGCTGATTGCTTTGTGGTCGGAGCAATTGTAAATTTTTAAGAAATTTTCTTTAGGAGTCGCATGAAAGTGACAATTTTTGAATAATGTCATGTCTGGGGTGTTTTTGCCAAAAAATGGAAAATCAATTACTTGCTCGAACTGATGTTGCTTGATTAGTTCAATTATTGAGTTTTCTTCATTTTCCGTGCTACTATAGTCAATCCAGTTTGCATTTGGAAAACTTACATCTCCGCAAATAATTGTTGCAGTTGATTGATTTGATTTCTCGATTTCATTTAATTTTTGTGCGAAATCGCCTAGACAGTAGCAATATTTGCTGCTCGAAGGTGGATTGTAAAAGCAGCAGACATTAATTCGCTTATCGTTTATTTGGATGCTGCAAGTTAAACAACATTCAGGTTGCTTATTTGGCAATAATTTAGAAAAAAATGTTTGTTTCACTGCCATTAGTACTCCACCATGCAAATTTTGATCTTTGGCTATTTGTCGTTCTGATCTATAAATACTGTATTCATTTAGCTTTAATTCAGATGGTGCAATGTTTTCATTTAACCAAGTCTCGCAGAGACATATAATGTCATAGTTTGATGTTGCTATAGCATTTGCAAACTTCATTCGTCGTTCGAGGTTTATGAGACTTCTTACATTCATTTGCAGGATGTTGAGAAAGCCTAGTCAAGCATCATCTGCTTGTTCTGCTTCTATCATCTCTTTTTTCCCCATCATTGAACAGCTCGAAATTCCTTATTTTGATTTTCTCCTTTGGAACTCATTCGTCTAGAAGTTCTCTTCGTCTTTTCAAGCATAGGTTTTCCTTCCTCGCGTCTTCTTTCGTTAATGCTGGCAGAAGGTAAATTTCCTCATCACGCAGCTCATCACTTTTTTCGAAGCTCTTTGCCAGCACCAAACGTGCTTCATGTTCCGTTGACAGAGTTATTAATAAGATTCTCGACTTGATGCGCTCTTTGCTGAATTTCCCTAGCCTTTTTATTTCTTCAATTTGTGGTTTAACTCCTAACTTTTTTAGTACCTCATGTACTTTTTCGGTTGTGGGGACAAAATTTTCGCCTTTTGATTTCTCGGGATCTTCTCTGATCACCTGTATACGGAAGCTTTTATTGATATTATGATGTATTTCTTGTTTTACTTCTTTTCCAGCTCCTGGTTGAGCTTTCATATCTTTAACAGGTTTCACACTGAGTACATCTGCATAGCTTTTTTCCAGTTTTTCGCATGTGGTTTTTGTAGCGTTTTCGACTTTTTCATCAACCAATGCCGTCAGCCTTTTTTCCATATTTTCAAGACGTGCTTGTATTCCCTCACTCTCTTTTTCAATTTTTTCGTTCATTTGCATCATGGTCCTTCACTTTATGAAGTTATCTCTTTCGTTATTAGTTACACAGGTGTCGCATAAAAGCATTGCGTTTAAACCCAAGTCTTTTATGCCATTGATGGCGGTGTTAGTAAGACCAGTGCAGGTGCTCTCAAGATGCATTTGAGCATTGCAAGATACACAACTGAAACATCGCTCCCTGGCATTTATGGGTTTTTTGCACGTTTTGCATTTTTTAGTCATATTGGTGGATACAGAGAGAAGGTGAAAATGGGTTAGCCCAGTCCCGTCACGAATTGAAATTTAAATTTGATCCAAGCCTGGACAATTAAGCCCAGTCCCGTCACGAATTGAAATTTAAATTTGATCCAAGCCTGGACAATTAAGCCCAGTCCCGTCACGAATTGAAATTTAACTCACAATTTATTTCTGTTCTCGTTTCCTTCGTGATTCTCGTTGTTTTTTGACGGTTTCTTTTTCTTCTTTAAGATATTACTCAAGTTGCTATTGTTGTTTCGTATTATAGCTAAAGTTTTGATTTCAAGTGCGGTTTCCTGATGCAGCTCTCTGTATCCTTCAAGTAGATCTTTGTCCTGTTGTTTCGAATTCGAAATTATGTCTGTTAAAACTTGAACAACTGGTATCGGAAGTTACTTTAGATCTTCAAGAATATAGAGTGCACCGTCTCTCTGACAATAGACAAGGCCTTCAATTCGAGGATGCGAATTCATTAGGGGTTTGATTTCTGATACTAGTTGATTGGCAGTAAGGGGAGTCCTTGCATTGAATGGATGTTTTGAAATCGAATTGTTTATTACGTCGTGCCAGATAATTACAGACTCGTTTCTATTAATTTCGTCTCTCAAGATGTTTCGTACGATTTTATTCGATTTCGATTTGGGATGAAAACTTGGCAACTGAATGTAAAAATTGTGTTCATTGTTGGAGAAATAAATTTTGCTGAAACTGACTGGTCGCCATAAATATCTTCTGATGAAGACGAGCAGGTTTTTGTTGATGGGATAGAACTAAATTTCGAACAAACAGTCACCGAGAAAGAAAAATCTCAATTAGACGTAATAACATCTAATGAACATTTCATTGTTGATAAACTTCTTTTAGCCTAATTGTTGTGACAAATTTATTAAATAGAAGAGTAAATGATGCGTTCAGAAAAGGTTTCCGAAGAAGAGTTATTGGTGATGAAATGGAGGAAGACAAGATTCTTCACATGAGTTTTTGCAACGCCCTCTGTGTGATTTAAGAGACAAGTTTGTCAAGTGACTTTCTGTGGGGAGGTAGGAAACTGGAACTAGCTTGAAGAGTCTGGTGGTGCACCGCTGGACCTACTGAGCTCGGGTGAGATTGTTCCTCGTTTTTAATTTTTGTAATTCGATTTTACAACTTAAATTAATTTAATTGTCCTATATGTTTTTTTATTTGCTGGTTTAAAAAAATTCCCACTAACCGCTTATCATGGGTTAGTTCAGTCCCCGAAAGTCCAGTCAAAATCCTTTTTTGACCTTAACGCTTCGTCAAGATGAGGAAATATAACAAAGAGTGTACAAGCAAAGATTGCTTAAAACTTTCAGGACTGATAAATTAGATTAGATGTGATTGTTGTTCTTTTTTATTTATGGGTAATCAGAAGGTCAAAAGTATCATAAAAACCGAAGCTACAGTCATGATTCCTTTCATCACGTATTACAGTCAAAATCCTTGGAATTTTCTAGATATGGAAGTGATAATGATAAAAGAAGATGACAGGTTCTGAAGTCTTTTTCAAATAAAATCGATACATGTTACGTTTCTTCAATAAGAACACGCAACTCGACACGAGAAAAAATAAAATACAAGTGTTACAAAAAAAATTTCGTCATTTTGTCATTTATCAATCCGAGTACGCAAGCGGCGTTCGCAATCTGTATTGCCAGGGAGATTCTCTGTTTTAAAAAGCTGCCTGCTCTGGGTTCCTCAGTGCATATGCTTCGGTTCTTACAAATCTTGCTCAAACCAATTTTTGTGCTGGGTCCGGCCGCGCCCTGAATCTCAAAAGCTAGCGGTTGAAAATGATATCCATCATCAACAAGATCTTTAAACTTGTCATTTTTTCGCTCTTCCGCTTCAGCGGCAACCGTACCAGGGATACAAACAGACCCGGCATTAATCCTACAAAGAGCTAAGGAGTCTACCACCGTTACATCCCACAAGAGCTGCCTACCAACAGCCCATGGAACAAGCGTCAAGCCAACTGGTCGCTTCTGATCGGTCCTGCAGAGGTGTCATTGTTCTAAAACAGACGGAATGTGAATAGAAAATAAACTCTGCTTTATAAGGCCATTCAGGTCTTTTCCGCACACGCATTTAAGCCGTTCGCATATTTTTGAGTCCTATCCAATTCTAAGTTGTTGGTTCGACAGTTTGAACCTCAAATTTTTGCACGGGCTGACGTTCAACCATTGGGAGCCAAATCTATCTTGGAACGTGTTGAATCTTTTTTACTTCCGTTATATGAGAAACTAGGAAAAAAGGGTTATAAGTTGTTCTAGTTGATATCATATCAGTTGTGTAAATATTCTCTTAGCTACTCTATGAAAACCCAATGGTTTCAGTGTCTTTTATGCGTTGATGTAAAATCTGTTAATAAAGCAACAATAGATATTGATTTAGTGCTAAACAAATATGTAAAACAGTCATCTCAAATGTCCGAGTACTCAGGAGAGTACCAAAAGACTCGTGTGTTCCCTTGGCGGAAAGTCTGTCGAACAAAATAAATGACATCGTCTACAGTATAGAAGATGTTGCAAAATGGCTGATTTTTTTAACGTCGTTCTTGTTTTTTTTGGAGCAACCGAAAAGAAGTGGACGCAAACAGACCACAAGCATGAGCTCTTTGATAAATGAAAAAGTTCGAGCAAATGACGTGTCACTTCCAAAACTCATCCCCAAGTTTCAAGCCCGCCTCTGGGTGACCTCGAGTAGAGAATAAAGCTAATAAGTAGTAAGTTCGATGAAGGAAATGAAAAGGGAGGTGTAACCGTCGCCTACTTAAACCACATATGAGGTTAAAGAAAAATAGGCCCTGTAACTATTGGCTCAAGCGTCAGGGACACTATCTCTTGTTTTTTTTCTACCTCAAGCGGTCGGAGCCAATTCGGTTCACTTGCGACGTGAGACTAAAACCTTTGTTACAGCTTAAAGGACACTACCAAAAAACCGCCCACTCTAGAAAAGAAGAACGTCCCCATTCATAGGTCTCAAAAAATAAAAAATCTAAAACAAAAGAACGCCGTTAAAAACAGGGTCAGAACCTTACGTATACTCACTTTCTGTTAGACAGTGGACCTTTGATCCATTTCAGATGAATCAACCTAAAAACTCTCACTAACTCAACATAACAATATAAAACACACTCAAGAAATTTAAATTGGGTACTCACATACCAGCGCAATCTCTAGAATTGAGTAACCAAATAATAAGCAACTCTAGCATAAATGGGGTAATCAATTTTAACTCAAGAAGTTTTGAATAGGTCAGTTTTAACTCGAGAGACAAGTTTCGGTTCTGGACAACTGGGAGACTTCGGTTGTCCACCTTTCCACCGAAAGTTCACTCTGGTGCACTTCTAAAATATCTCTTCTTTAGTCGGGATCTCTCTGCCTTCTGTTTTGAATTAAAACAGCTCTACTCTCGTTCGATTTATGTATCGAAACTTGCGAATAGCAATTTCCCGCTGCTATTTTTGACTACTTTCCCACTTGTAGTTCGACTCATCTGATCTTGTTTTCTGATCTTTTCAGTTGTCGCGAGAATCTGAGCATGACATGCTTAATTCGAAATTTTGAAAAATTCCACTTCACCCCAAAATCATGTCTTTTGCATTGCTTAAGAACAAACTACAAATATGACCGACTGGCACATACTCCCCGGACTCAAGATCGATGTCCTCATTGCGTGTCAATAACATAAAATATTTCCGTCATATTCAAGGAAATTTGATCTGTTTCCGGATAATAAATATCCTAGAACGGGTGTTTTTAGAACTGCTAGTGCGAGTGATTGTAGAATTTGTGTTCTTTCAAGTTCGCATAAATGATGTAATGTTTTTAATTCTGATGAGGACAATTCGTGAAAAATTCTGCTTATTGTGTACTCTAATTTCATATCTAGGTGTATGTCATAATAAATTGCGCTAAAACATGCGTTGTTCTTTAGTGATAGTTCTTGTAATCGTGTACTATCTTCGTCTTGTGGTTTTTTTTCCACCAATGTTTCCTGTGTTTTTAACGAGAGTTACTGGGATGTACGAGGTTCCGTCATTTGGTGTATGATGTGTTGCTTGTGGGTTTTTTATGACTTTTCATGTATTCTTGTCGAAACCTTGTTCATTTCCAACAAGAATTTCTAAATATTGTGTCTTATCTACTGGTTTATTGCTTTTGCATGAGAGTTCTGTTTCTGGATAAATTTGGAAACGTAATAATTTGTTTTCTTTTTAATGAATGTTTTTAAATTTAAAACTGCTATGTATGATTTTTCCAGGGTTTACGTTTTTATAAGGGATGGATTCAATAAAATATTTTTGATGGAATTTTTTCATTCTGGCGTGTTTTTTCGCTCTTTGAAATGTGGTACAAGTGTCTTCGGAAAACCAGACAATTGTCGCTTCTGTTCGAGTGGTAGCATCACAATATCTTTGATCATCTTTACAAGGGTGTCTGATTCCTTGGTAAAGTATAGTGTCACCGTTAAGGTCGCGCGTTAATTGTACTTTTTCAAGTTGTTTTTTCCAATCAAAAACACTATTTCTTGATATCCCATAGTTTTGGTGTCTGCTTTGCAGTTTGAGGGGTTATTTATTCTAATGTGTGGTATCCAATTTTTATCATGAAGATCATAACTTAATCTTCCGTGTGCGCCCTGGTATGGGTATTTATTGTCTAGTCTAACATTACCTTGGTATCCTTCCATTCCGGCTTGATGTGCAGAATCTGCGAAAACTTGAAAAGTTACGATTTTTCTATTTATGCCTTTGTTTGATGTGATTTTAATCTGAGAATTTCATTTTTAAAATCATCAGGGTTAAGATGTATAAGTCTTTCGATATTGCTCTGTTAGAAAAATTCATTATCTAATCTTTTTTTTCCATTCATGACATGTGAACAAGGTACATTCTTTTCAGAAAATGTCGCTTGAAATTATGTCCTATTAGTGTTGTAGCTCGTGCTTTTGAGTACAATGTAGCTAAAAAAGTGGTAGTTTCTTTAGCTTGTGATTCGGATTCACATTGTGTGACTTGAGTTATTGCATATTTATGTAGTGTATTTTGTTCGTTTTCTTCACAATCATAGTATAAGACTAGTAAATCCTGAGGTGCTGTTCGGGGGGATATATTGTGATTTGGTTCTGAAAAAAAAACAAGAAAAAGAAAGTTTTGAAATGTGAGTATCCTTAGAATACACATGTGTATGATAATCTTGAGTATGGGTTATAAAAATTATGTATCCAATTGTCTTTTTGGTGTATCTATCGTATTCGTAGATTATTTGAGTTGTTATAAATGGGGAAGATTGGGCTGTTATATTTGGAGGGGCTAAGGGGATGGATGTCGAACAATATTTTTAAGTCTTATTGTGAATTCGAATTTGAATGTTAAACTATCTTGTTGTTTTTTTTGGATGTTATGTTCTTGTATATCTTTGTGCATGTCGTGTGTATATTGTAATCTGTTTAGTGCTCAGTTGTGTAATCTGCTACTTTCTCGATGATGACCAAATAATGGAGGAGGTGCTTAAAATGTATTTCAACTAATCATAGGGGTGTATCATTTGATGATTGTTCTCGATATCGAGCGTCGAGATTTGTAGGAAAATTCAGAGGTAAAATATTGGTGATATTTGACTTAAAGAAGGTGTTGAGGGAAGTGAAAGTGTTTCTGGTAATGTTGATAATGCTGTATCAGATGAAACGTCAATTGATTTGTTAACTAAATTTGGTTCACCTTGAATGTAGGTGTGTGTCGCCCAAAATTGGAGACGTTCTGTGGGGATTAAAAGGGTTTTCTCGAATTTGTTCCGATGAGGTAGCTGAACTTAAGTAGTCTGATGGTATATTTGAAGTGCTTTGTTGTGAAGCAATTGGGGGAGTGTCTTGAATTGTACTACTAGA